TCCAAGAACTCTCACAGCACAGTGAGTGGGGCACATGTAGGGCCTCTCCCTACATCTCCCTATAGTCACAGGGGCTGCAGCTGCCGACCTCCCACTGACTCTTACTTCACAACAACATGGACTCAGGCTTCCCAAAAATTGCACTTTTTCACGAGAGCATGCACATAGCTTGTTTTTTTTTTTTTTTTTTTTTTTTAAAGATTTATTTATTTGTGCATACAGAACTGGGGTACAGGCCAGAGGCTCAGGGACGGCGAGAGACTTCACCAGAGACAGAGTGGGGAGCAGAAAAGGCAGATCGAGGAAGTACACTGCTGAGGGGAGCAGCGGGCGGGTCAGGAGAGGTCTGCCGCTCCATGTGGTCACCTCCGGGGTCGGGGGCAGGCGGGAATCGAACTCATGCGGAAGTGGCTTTAGATTCTCAGTGCTGTGCTTTACCCCGCTGCGCCACCAGGGAGGGCCTCACATAGCTTGTTTTTAATGTGAAGGGACTACAGGAGGTGAAAGAAAACATCTGTGGAGTGAACCACTGAGTCTGGCACTCAGCAGGCACAGACCTCTAGAAAACCTGACCCCCGCAGTTGATGGGTGAAGCTGGTACGTGAGGAGCAGTGGAGCTGAGTGAAGAGAGAGGGTGAGGCTCCCTTCTGGCAGCCCAGTGCACTCCTGTGCCAGACTTCAGAATGTAGGAAACTCCTCCCTCCGAGGTCTCCACCCCTCAACCTGAGCCCAAACCACTGGAGGCTGCAAAAGATGGGGCTTTCGGTAAGGATTCCCATGGAAGCCAGAGGGGAGGCATCTTGGTCAGGCAGCTCCCCTCTGCTCCCCTCCACAAATTGGTCATGAGGCCCAAGGCCTAGCCCCCCAGGGAGTTAGAGTCACCTTCTGTGCAATGGGGTATCTTGTGGGATTGTTTCAGTTACTCATGTCGTGTGCTGGGCACAGAGAAGAGCCTCACTCCAATCCGGGTCCTGTTCATTCTGCAGTTACAAGCTGCATGCTCAGAGTGTTCCCCATTTTATTCTCCCACACCAAACATAGTTTTGGGGTCCGTAGAGTGTGATCGTTTGATTTCTAGATACCAGGGTTCAAGTCCTTACTCTGGCATGAGTTGCCTGGGTGAGTTCCCTATTCCTTGTCTGAGGCCCCTTTCCACATATCTAACATGGGAGTGATAACTGGGTGTCTGTAGGGACGTGGAGAGCATTAGGGAATGCAGGCAAAGTGCTCCCTATATTCAGTGTCTCATGTAATGAGAAATTCAGGTCATTAAAGTTAGTCCTGTGCGGGCCACATGGTAGATGCTGCATAACTGCACAGCGGGTGAGGTGGTGCCAGGGTCTGGTTTCGGCCGGACCAGGAGAGTTTTCCCTGCACCTGTTGCCAGTTTCCAGAAGCAATTTCTACTTCAAGATGGAGGCCTGTCTTGGTTTAAGGCTTTGTTCCTCACTATCTTGAAATTCTTAATTTTCAGGTGAGGGGTGCCTGCATTTTTGTTTGGGACCCCGGTGTCAGAAGTACTGCCCCTTTGAGTGACTTCCCTGGCCTCTGGCATCAGCCTGAGTGTGGCCCACTGACTGGCTCATCTTACTACAGGATGAATGCTATCTAGCAGCTTTGCCGTAGACAACATTTTTTTTATTATAATTGGCTGTTTCTGCCTTGGCAACAAACACCACTTATTAATTCTGTGTATTCCAAGTTTCACTGTACCTGGCATGAATCACTGAAATACTTAATGTGTAGAAAGGCTAGTTGCTTCATAGATGCCTTGAGAAGCCATTTGACCTAGAAAATAACTTTTATTGTGTTACATAATCAGTGTTGCCTGATGCATATGATATTCATTACAATTACATGTTTATGATGTCATTATTCTGCACAATTGCTTAGACTCATAGTTTGCAAAAGTTGGCTGTAGATTAGCATGATTCCTCCTGCAGGTGGGATCTTTCTCTAAAAGGAAAGAACGTAGCTGTTCTGACAGCTTGGTCCCCTAGAGCTCTCCGAAGAAAGGGGCTCCTGAGCAGGTGCACCCAGACTCAACCACAGGGAATTACTCAAGTATAAAGAAAAAAATAGAGAATTTGCACTGAGAGCAGGGAACTCTGTATGGCCACCAAATGCCACCATCACAAAAGACAATCACCAGATTTAGTTTATGATGTAGTTAATTGTGTTGCAAAAAAATTTCATTTCACAAAAAGATCTACTATTTGCTTTATTTTAAAATAATGAAATATCCCTATAAGTGAAGAATTTAATCTATAAAAATTTCACTGATTTTCCAGCTTTTGATAATCGCTGTTATGATGCATGGTGTCATTTTGGGGAGAGTCTGGGTAGTGACTAGACCAAGTCTCTCTGTGTTTTATCTGTGGATTTATAATTATTTTAATAGAAAGTTAAGTATCTATATACAGCACATATGTAATGCAACATTTTATAATGCACAGAGGAATACATTGATGGGTGAAAATATCACCGTCTTTGTAACATGCTCAGTGGAGATGGCGACTGATCTGTCTTTGCCTCTCTCTGGTCATTTATCAAATAAAGTATTGGACTCAGAGTCTGTAATTCCAAACCCCATGGTAGATGATGGCTTCAATTATTTAATCTTTCACTACGGGGGCATCCATAGCAGAAAATAAACTCATTTTTTAAATCATGTTTTGTTGTCTCATGACCTAGAAAAAGAGGGAAGATGCCAAAAGTAAGGAGCAAAATGGAAAGAAAAGGAGCAAAGATCCAAAATAAGTAGTTTTTGTGATATTATCAAGATTCATCTTATTTATCTTTTCACCAAAGTTTAGCAACCCAAATGAATTATTACATCCTTCAAATTTTAATTCTAGCTAGAGTGAATTAACATTTCCAATTAAGTTGCTGAAATTCAAAAGGGTAAGGTGGTAATTGTTAAGGAAATTATTTAGGAATTGAACAGACAGAATGAGCTATTGTCAACAGGCAGGGAGTTATTAATTCACTCATTTAAGAAAAATTCCTCAGCTCTCCACATTGCTTGATAGCACAAAGATGAACAAAATCCTGTGTTCTGGAACTTACCTTCCACATAGTAGAAAGGCAAAAAAACCAAAAAACCAAAAAAACAATAAACACGCTTTGTATCATCAGGTTGCAGTAAAGGCTATGAATTAAAATAAGGGTAAAGGCGTGGAAGTATGGGAATCAGAGAGACAATTTTCAGTGCTCAGAGTCATGTTGATCCTGTTATAAAAAAGGAGATGGAATTAGAGCAACCTTAATTCCAACAGAGAAGCACAAAGAAAGAATAATGTTAATTGTAGTCATGTGTCAATGAAACCAAACTTGATAGTTATATGTCATTTTAATTCTTAAAGATAGCTAACGTTCCTCATCCCCCCCCCCCCAGCCAGCAGCGTTTGATTTTCACACTTATTTGTATGGCAGCAGTCATAGAAGTGTTCATGTCTTTTGACTCATAATACAGTGATTCTCAAATTCATTAATCCTGTCTCCCTATTTTGTAGAAAAAGTAATTGTTAACACCTCCTTTACTCTCCTGAAATAAAAATCACAACTAATATAACCTATCTAGATACACAATTTCAAGAATTCAAGAATATTTCGAAGAAACCAAGGAAAAATAAGTTATAATACACCAAAGAAAAGTATGTTATATAGATGCAAGCAATGAATCTATGTAAGAAATTACCATGGTAACCGCCAGTGTCCACGGTATCCCAGGCATATGTACCAGTCACAACTGGGAATGTTACACCAACGTTCATGTCACTGGTCTTAAGTGAGTTCTGTGGTCCTTTTGGAATTGAGAGTCCCAGGGGGTTTGAATCTTTCTATAGGCTTGGCATGGGGAGAACCTGAAAACCCCATGTGAGTACGTTGGGCTCTGGCCTTCTATTGGCTGCTTTTGTTTGACCACGTGGCATTTGACAGGACAGTGGATGTGACACAGTCCTCCATTGGCTGAGGCTGTCCCATTGCATGCCTGGCTCTTCCCACAGATGCCAGTAAATCTCCTTCAGGAAAACATGCCTTGAAATGTTTCTAGCATTCCTCTCACAGGCAGGGTGTCCCTCTTTAAGAACTTTGCATCTGTCAAAATCATGGGATTTATTCCCAGTTAATAATCCAAATATAATTCTGTTTGCCTAAATATATTGGTATCAAAGTTATTAATGGTAGCATGGAATTGGAAACAAATACATACCTGAATGAGAATATTTAGCTATGATTTTTCCCCCAAGATAGAAAATTATGCAACCAGTAAGCAGATTTCAAAACAGATTGAAAACATATGAACATAAACACACAAGTATATATGCAGCAAAGAATGAAATATTTTAAAGTTAGTTTTTTTGTATGTGAAAATGAATCTAACTTATTGCTATGTTAACAAAGTACCCCTCCAGGGCTCACTTTTGTCTCAGACGGCAGGTAGAGGCACAGCAGTGAGGCTCAGGGTGGCCTCACTGACATGTCCAGCTGTTGCTGTTCTTAGCTGGACCTCTCTCTGCAGCAGGCTAGCCATGGACATCTTCTAACAAACCCACGAAAGGGCGCTGTATTTCAGGCCCATAGGATAGCTTGAAAGCCACTGAGGGAGAAGATGGGTGGATAGTGTTTTCTATGTACACTTTATTATTCTTCTCCAAAACTTAATTGACCATAGAATATCACAGGCAAGAGAACAACCTGCCATGTGGCCCAGGGAAGGCGAGTAGGTTTTATCTGAAGTGTCAACTAATGTGTTTGATTTTGGGAGGCTGGTGTTTCCAGGGAGAGAGAGAACAGGGTGAATTAGCTACTTAGTGAATTTGAGGGGAGGGGTCAAAAAAATGGTAGGGTTAGTGCCACATGAGTTCTTGGAAGGATGAAATCTTAGATTCCTTCCTCGGAGTTTTCTAGAAGCAGACAGACCTTAGGTAATCACAGCGTTTGAAGACACTGGCATTTTTTGATAAGTCACGACAAATGATAATCTCTGTGTGCAGGTGGTGGTGCGGGAATTGCTGGCCCAACAAACCAAACAGTATCAAGAAAGACCACTCTTCAGCCTCCTCTGGAACTGGGCTGAATCTGGGGGTGACAAGTTGAGAACCAGGTATGTAGTTGCTCAGGCTGTCACCATTCATGGCCCTCAGTATCTAATGATTGACCCCAAGGGTATAGAGCCTGGTCATGGCACAAACCACTCCTTTGTTTTTTTTTTTAATATTTGAGATATTCAAAAATATGTTACCTGGAATATGAATGCTCCTGCCTAGCTTATGAACTAAAACATTGCTAATTCTGTCATTGCTACTTGGTTCTTTATTACATATTACTATTCCAAGCACTTTACGTGTTTTAACCCTAAAAGCATGTAAATAAATAACTCATCCATTCAAGGATGAGGAAACTGAGGTGCAAAACTGTGTTTTGCGCAAGTTACATGGTAGTGCGTGACAGAGCTAGGCGTTGGACCTGGATAGTCTGGCTTTTGGATCATTGCTTTCAGTTGTTTTTATTGACTTATTAATGTCCTTCAGCTTAACATACAAGGTATAATGTATGTGGTATTCTGTGGCTTCCTGTTTTTCCTCTGCTATTTTGTTTCTAAGGTTCATTCAAGTTGTGTGTAGTTGAAGAGCTGCTCTCTCAGCTCATGGTATTTCATCAGGCCCATGCACCACCATGTATTGGTCCAACCTCCAATCTCTGTGGACATTTGACCTGTGTTTTTGATATTTTGCATGAATGAAACTCTTATGAAAGATCTGGTACATGTTTTTCTGGGGAAGCATGTGCAAGAGTTCTATAAGGTTTTCAAATTTAGGTGCCGTGACTCAGAGTGAGAAATGTGTTTTCCACTGCCATGGATACCGGTACATCTGTTGAGTCCCACCCACCCCACAGACACAACTAAAGGAAAGGTGTCATGAAGCAGTGCTTGTACTGTTGCTCATGCTGATATTTAAAAAAAAAGTCAGATATGAATCTCAGTCATTTAAACTGATTTCACGACCCATTAGTGATTTGCAATGTGTTGTTTGAAAAATACTGCTCATTTGTTACTTAGGAGGGAAATAGCTGGGTTGTGGAGAATGCCAATATTCAACTTTCCTAGATAGTGCCAGATTATTTTTCAAAGGGATTATACCAATTTATACCCTTACTATCAGCATGTGTCCTGTGGAACCATATGCTCACCAACACTCAATATTATCAGGCTTTTATATTTTTGTTAATACAATATAACAGAAGATCTATTGCTATGACTTTTTTTATTATAATAGTTTATTTTTACATCATTTTGTGCCTTTTCCCATCTCAGTTGTAATCCCCATGGGTTTCCCATAACCAGATGACCCGTGTGCCATCACCATAGTCCAGTGCATTTCCCTCCCCCCATTGTTTTTGATCCCATTCCCCACTCCACCCCCACAAAGTGTCTCTGGTATATAGCTGTTCATCATTATCATTATTTCCGTGCCTGTTCCATTATATTCCAACTATGAGAGAAACCATCCAGTATTTTTCCTTTTTTTTCTGGCTTATTTTACTAAGCACGATCTTTTCCAGTTCCATCCATGTTGCTACAAAAGACATGTGTTTCTTTTTTTTTGGTTGCTGAGTAATATTCTGTTGTGTATATGTACCACGTCTTTTTAATCCAGCCATCCATTTTTGGGCATTTGGGCTGTTTCCATGTCTTTCCAATTGTGAATAAAGCAGCAATAAATATGGGGGTGCAGGTATCTTTTTGAATCAGTGTTTTTGTGTCTTTCGGGTAGATACTTAGGAATGAGATTTCTGGGTCATAGGGAAGCTCCATTTTTAGCAGTTTGAGGAACCTCCAAACAGTTTTACATAGTGGTTGTATTAGTTTGCTATGACTTTAAAGTGCATTTTCCTTATTGCTGTTAGGATTGAGCTTGCTTTCACATGTTTATTCACCATGTATAGTTCTTCTTATGTAAAATTCTCATTCATCTTTGTTTATATCATTTTTTATGTATGTAAACAAATATATAGATATTTTGTAATTACATGTATACAATTACATTTCCATATGTGAGGGAGTTCATTTGGGGATTATTTTATTATCTGTTGGTATATCTTTTTTTTTTTAAAAGATTTATTTATGTTTACAGAACAGGGGTCAGGCCAGAGGTGTGTTGGGTGAGGGGATTCACCAGAGACAGCGTGGGGAACAGAACAGGCAGATCGACGAAGTACACTGCTGAGGGGAGCAGCGGGTGGGTCAGGAAAGGTCTGCCACGTCATATGGTTCAGCTCCCTGGCTGGGGATTGAACTTGTGCTGCAGTAGCTTCTGAGAGCCTCATAGTGCGGTGCTTTAACCTGTTGCGTCACCAGGGAGAGCCCTGTTTGTATATCGTTAATCAAGAACGCCATTGCAATTCTGCTAGATTTATAAGAACTTGCTAGTATATAACATGTATTTTATATAATCTTACTATATTTCAGATATAGTTCAAAATTGTGTTGACTGTTCTGGCTTTTTATACGTTCATATACATTTTGAAATCAGTTTGATAAATTCCTAAAAAAACAAACAAAAATCCCTGCAGACACGAAAGGAGAGTATTGTATGGCTGCCTGCATGTAATGTTTCTACAGTAGCCAGATTCATAGCAACATGAGGTAGAGCGATGATTCCAGAAGCTGGGAAGAGGAGCAGGTGGGGGAGAGCATGTAGTGGGTATGGACTTCCACTTTGGGTGGAGGACAAAGTTCTAGAGATAGATGGTATTGAAGGCTTCACATAATGTGAATGTACTTAATGCCACAGAACTGTGCTCTTAAAATGGTTAAAGTGGTAAATTTTATGTAATGTATAGTTTATCACAATTTGTGAAAATTTTCTACAGTTTTCTTTGAAAGCATATTAAATCTATAGATTTGCAGAAAAGTTGACATATTTGTAAGTTACCTTCTCAGAGATTTTAATCTTCCAGATATCTTCTAAGATTTATAATTTTCTTCATACATCATCTCTAAATTCTTTTCTTTCTTCCCGGAGATAACAATACTATCTGCAAATAATGCTTTATTATTTCTTCCTTCCCAGTTTTTATTCCTTTTGTTCATTCATAGACCCACTTTCTAAGAAGTATTATTACTTTTTAACATATGGTTGTCATTCCTACACAGTGAATTTTACTGCAAATAATTATTTGCATCTACTTTAGTTTGTAAATTTAACAGATAATCCTTGAAAATCTAATTGTAAACTACCTTTGCATGCTTAAGAAACATTAAATTTTGTCATACTGTATTATCATTTTTATCTTTTTCTGGATTTCACTTCTAGTATTTTTGAAGGGATTTTATATACTTATTGTCTTGCTGTTTTTCTTGTTTGCACTTCTCTAATTTGGACTTATGTAAAAGTTTTACTGGTCTCAAACTTATTTTGGGAGTAGCTCTGATTCTGTGCAAGAATTTGAAAAGTTATTCAGAGATGAATATTTAAACTACTGATTCAATTAGTTTGTTGTAAGCTATTTAGGCTTTCTCTTTTTGGGTCAATTTTGGTGTTTTCTTAGGAATTTGTTCATTTGGCTTTGCATTTATTGGCCTATAAGGTTTATATACTATTCTGTAATTATTTTTTTTAACTTAAGCTAAATCTGTTGTTACATACAAATTGCAATTCCTAAAGTTATTTCTGTGTCCTCCTCCTTCTTTATTGCTGTTGCCTAACCTTACCAGATGTTTACCTAGTTTGTTATTTTTCAACTTTTTACTTTATTGATCCACTCTGGTATGCCTTTGTTTTCTGTTTCATTGACATATACTCATAAATGCATTGTCTTTCTTATTCTGCTTTTGAGAAGTATGTTATGCTTTTTTTGTTTGTATATTTTTTAAATTATCATTTTTACTTGGAGGCAGATTATTACTATAACTCAAATGTGTTGAATTGATTTCCAAGGAAATTATCCTTCAGAAAAAGTAATCTTACAAGCTGATTGCAAACATGGGAAACAGTATAATCATAACATGGGACTTTCATATCTATTAGCATGAAGTGAAATTAAGAAATTTGTGATCTGTCTTTTTGTTTTTTAAACTACTATTTACATTCCTATTTGTTCAAACTGTAGTCTATCTTTAAGTTTGAAAACATGTGCTCTTCCATCCTAGGGCTGTTCCATAAGTGTCTCTTAGTTTTAATGTATCACTTTATTCTTATATGTTCTACCAAGTCTTTTTATTATTTCTAGCCCTGAATGGACATTTTACAACACTGATAGCTTTCTTCTTAATTGTTAGGTTGAAAGATTTCCAACATGTAAGAAGTTGAAAGAATAATACAATTCACACCAGAATCAGTTCCATCCGTTGGGAAACTTGTCCCTAAGCTGATTGCAAATCATCTGCCTTTTTACGTACTTCAGATAGCAGAGCAGGGCTTGTTTCCATCATGTAGAAAACGTAACAGACTCTCACCCATATGCAAATCTATATTCCTAGCAAATTTTCCAGGGTAGATTTGAGAGGTGCCAAAGGCAGTATTCCAACTATAAATATTTGAAAAGTTCCAGTTCATTTATTTTTGTCTTGGTTATTAACCTTCAAAAGAGTGTGTATCTCTCTCCTATACATTCAGGTTTTCCTGATTCAGTCTGTCTGTGTTTATCCACTTAAGTACCCAGACCTTACTCACTCTGATTGTTCCGTTAAGCAAAACTTTAGGCACCCAATCTATTTCAGCATACCTTGTATATGGGGCACTTCTCCAGGCTCTGGTGTTACAGCAGTGACCAGGGGTTCTCAGTCTTCATGGAGCTTACCATTGAGCAGACCCATCCTATATGTGGCCATTATACTGATGGTTTCTAACACAGATTGGTTTTTAATCTAGAATTTTATAAAGGTGGAATCATACAGTATGTATTGTCTTGTACTTGTCTTATTAACTTGGTGAAATGTTTTCTGAGATTGATTCATGTTGTCATATCCATTAGTATACTCTTTTTTTTAAAAAAAAGATTTATTTATTTATTCATACAGAACTGGGGTACAGGCCAGAGATGCGGAGGGTGAGAGGATTCACTAGAGACAGAGCGGGGAGCAGAACAAGCAGACTGACGAAGTACAGTGCTGAGGGAAGCAGCGGGTGGGTCAGGAGAGGTCTGCCACACCATGTGGGTCTCCTCTAGGGCAGGCAGGGATCGAATTCATGCGGAAGTGGCTGAAGCTTCTTAGTGCTGGGTTTTAACCTGCTGCGCCACCAGGGAGGGCCATACTCTTTTTTTTTTTTTTTTTTAAAGGGCTTGCTAATACTCTATTTTATTGCTATACTAGCCTCCCTTGTTATTCATTCTTTTATTGATGGATAGGTAACAGGGATGTGTTGCACTCTTTTGGATAGAACTTCTGTGACAATTCATATATAAGTGTTTCTGTGAATATATATATACAAACACATATACACTTATATGTGTGTGTGTGTGTATTTCTCTAAGGCTAGTAGAAGGGGAACTCTGGATTATAGGGTTTGTGAATTTGTAGTTTTATAAAAAATTGTAAGATTTTTTTTTTATGAAGTGGTGTTACTACATAAGAGTTTGGGCTGCTTTATATCCTCATGAACATTTGAAGTTTTTAGTGTATTTGATTTTCAGTCATTCTGGTAGGTGTATAATGCTACCTCAGTGTGGTCTTCAACTGCATTTCTCTGACGACTAGTATTGTGCATTGGGATTAAATTTAAATTTTATTTTGTAAAATACATAGCTACAAAGAATTTACCATTAGTGACATTCTGATTCTGAGAGACTCTGGACAGTCTTCTTTGCTTGATCTATGTGACCTGGTTGTGTTTGACATGACATATAGCTAGGTGGGGGATAAGATCTACTTCCTATAAACTGCACATGCAGTTTACAGCCTTCAGTGGACAGTGTCCACAGTGAATATCTCAAGAAAGGCAGTTCCCAGTAACAACATTCAACTGCCTCCAGGCTTCACAGTAACAGTCTCTGAAATAACTAAAACATATTTTTCAATAAAGTGTGAAAATTTTTACACCTTTTGTTGACTAGATTGAGAAGGAAACAGCCTTTTAAAGACTAGCTTAAACATAAGTTTTTATTTTTTAAACTTTCTGACAATTAGCATGTAAATACTCTTCCATCTTTCCTGTTTCAGTGGAGGGTAATTACTCATTTCTTGGCATTCTCAAAAGCACCGTATCAGTTGCTTCTTAAAATTTCTCGTATAGCATCTGATTAAGCACCCACAACAAGCTACTTGTGAGTTTTAATTTTAATTAATGAGAATAAGTTATTTGGGTCTTATACTAATCTACTGCTTGAGGGTATCATGAAAGGGTAATTGGGCTATGGGAAACCCTATGTGTGAATCAACTCTTGACTATCTAGACTCTAAAGATAGAAATTTTACTCTGTGTGTATGTGTGTTGAAAGCAGTACATAAGGCCAAGCTGCTTAATGAAAAGCCTACAGTGTTTTGAGGGAGACTTTGATGTTTTGAGGCTGTTTGTGCCTCAGTTTCCTTATTTACTAAATGAGGAAGATGGAAGTTATCACTTGTTGAAGAAAGTCACCCCTCACCTTGTGCTTGCCTGCATCCTTCCCTTTGGGGCTCCTCTTTCCCTAAATATGGTATTCTCCCAAAAAGCTGAACTTGAGCATGTTCTGCTCATGCATGTAACCCTGAGCAAGTTCCTAAATCTCCTGAGCCTCAGCTTCTCAAACTGTTGGCTAGATAATCACCATATCTAATAATAGTAATAATACAATAATATTGAATAATAGTTATTCAATAATAAAATTATTGTTATAATAAAATTATTGAATAACTCACAGCAAAAACTTAGCACAATTCCTGATTCATAATGAATTTAGAATATTATTCATTAACAAAAACCTTGTGAGTTATATTTATAATTATTATTACAGTTCAATAGTGGTTGAGTAAATTATAAGTCTACTAGATAAAAATTATATAACTGTCAAGAAAGCTATATAAATATTTAACAGTGTTTATAAATACAATAGTAAGTGGAAAAAACAGGAATCAAGTTATCTTTATACCTAAAGGACAATCACATATCATATTTAACTAGAGCCAAATATTCATCAGAAAGACTGAAAGGAGGCATGGATAGAGTAGAGAAAGATGGGAGGGAGGTTGATTATATGTACTTATACTACTTTTCTATTATAAGAGATATATTCTTTGAAAGATTCACCTTATTTATTTATGCATACAAGATCTGGGGTGTAGGCCAAAGGTGTGGGGAAGCTGGTGAGAGGATTCAGCAGAGACAGTGGGGAGCAGAACATGCAGATCGACTGAAATACACTGCTGAGGGGAACAACAGGTGAGATGGGAGAGGTCTGCTGCGCCATGTAGGTCAGCTCCCTGACCAGGGTTCGAATTCTTGCCATGGTGGCTGGCAACAGCTTGACAGTGCTAAGACTTTAACCCCTGCACCACTAGGGAAGAAACAAACCTTGTTGATTTCTTCCAAATGAAATTTTTTGGTGAGGACAAAATAAAAATGATGGTTATTGTGTTCTTCCTCCAGTTTCCTGGCACTGAACGTGGACACTGTTGGTAATCTCGCCTTTCTGTTGAAAGCAGTGACTTTTCGTGAAAGGGTTCTTCAGCGGGCTTTGGTAGCCAGAATTTATTATAAGGTAAAGATACATTGTGTTATATTTTTCTTTTTGACATGAATTTAAGGCATATATTTGCTGGTGAACTATCTGCTAAATGTAATCAAGGATGAGTCAGTTTAATTACAAACTTCTAGAAATGCCTGGAGTCCTACAGGCCATTCTGCATGGCAGCCTTGCTTGCTGTAGAGCCAGGATGCTTTCTCTGTTTCACCCTTTTACTGTGCCTTTTAGAATTCTATCTAGAAGTGTCCTTTGGCCACCATGGGAGTTGATGTGTAATTTTCAGCCTATACGAATTAAAACAATCATTATTTTCTCTGTATAATGAAGTCATTGTTCCATTGTGATGGTGTGTGTGTGTAGGAGGGGGATTGAGGTACGTGTCTGGCAAATGAAAAAACTGACCAATGGATTTCCTGGGATGCACCCTACTTCCTATGAAAATACGCACAACACTACAAAATTATAAAACCTTGTATCACAACTGATAGATTTTTTTTTTTATTAAAAAGTTTATTTTTACATCATTTTTCACATTTTTTTTTATCTCAATTGTAATCCCCACGGGTTTCCCATCACCAAATCACCC